TCATTCCCTGTACAGAGAAGCTTACACTCTAATGCAGAGTGGCACCGCTTGTAGGGGGACTACAAATCCCAGCAATACATTTATACAGCAATGCAGAACAGTATATGAATTGGACTCTGGGCTTAGTTGCGCGCCGTACTCTGGCCTTAGTTGCGCGCCGGACTCTAGCCTTAGTTGCGCGCCGGGACTCTGGCCTTAGTTGCGCGCCAGGACTCTGGCCTTAGTTGCGCGCCAGGACTCTGGCCTTAGTTGCGCGCCGGACTCTGGCCTTAGTTGCGCGCCGGACTCTGGCCTTAGTTACGAGCCGGACTCTGGGCTGTTACGCGCTGGACACAGGACCCACCTGAGACCCCACACAGCCCACCTGAAAGTGACCCTGCAGAGCACACCATACATGCTGCACAGCTCATCTGAGACTCTCTATGGCAGGCTCTGCAGGGGTCTCAGGTGGGCTGGTTGGGGCTGCATCTCCCTCCCAGCTCCTCTTACCTGCTCCTGCTGCTGGTGTCTGGCCTCCTCTGCCGCCGGACTGGCTGGAAGTGACGTGATCCCCCGCTACCTCCGTGCACTCGTCTGCGTTGCTGTCAGACTAGTATGGTGATGGCGAATGTTTTTGAATCAGAGTGCCCAAACTGCGACACAAAATCAAAGTGCCAACTCTGAAAATAACTTTAGTATTGCGTTGCAGTTCAGGCGCTCGGGTTTAAAAAATTTTCAGCATCATCACCGCCTCAGACAAAATAGGGAAACACACATTCAAATATTTATACACTCATTAACCACTTGCTGCCCGGGGCAATTTCTTACAGTTGCACACACATTATTATTAGTATTATTATTATACAGGATTTATATAGCGCCAACAGTTTGCGCAGCGCTTTACAATATAGGGCAGACATTTCAATCACAATACAATTCAACACATGATAAAATCTGAATTTTTGGGTAGAAAACATCTTTGGACCCCGAAACAATGATATATTTTCTGAAAGCAGAGGTCCTGTAGAATAAAAAGATTGCAATTAGTTGCAATTTTTTATTTCGCACGGTATTTGCACAAATGTTTATCAAACCAGTATTTTTAGGATAAAATACACTAAAATTAAATTTAGTGCACAGAATCAGAATATAATGGCTAATTTTTTGGTACAATATAAAAGACGGGGGCCACGCCAGGCAAATAGATACTAAACATGTCAAGCATCCATGAAACCGCCAAAAACTACAATAACCAAAATTTTCCATAAGCAACGCTTTAAATGCTTTTACGGCTCATCAGTTTAGTGCCATCAGTGATTGATGGGCCGAGAATTATTGCTCTCACTCCGATGCTCGCGACGATACATAACATGTGTGGCGTAATGTTTTTGCATGTAGGCGCATCCGACCCGGGTTTGTGTTGTATGTGCGTGCACGTGGGGAAAGGGGAAACTTAAAAAAATATTTTTTTTGCATTTTAGTTTTTTTTAATGTTACTTTAATTTTTACCTTTTTTTTTACACTCAGCTTTATTGCTATCACATAGCGGGCTAAAAAGCCCCTTATGTAATAGCACATATAATGTGACAGGTCCTCTTCATGGAGACGTCAGGGGTTTTTCATACCCCTAATGTCACCGAGGGACCCCAAAGAAGCTGATGAAGCAGAGATCTGCTTCACCAGCTTCTTCTTCTGGCTCTAAGGGGTTGTCCACACCACTTGCAGTGCGTCCCGGCCCGATTCCGGCCGGAACGCACTGCATCACATTGCGGCCGGCTCAATTTTTGCCAAGTAGGAGGGGGAGTGGCGGGCCATTGAAGTGATGGGCGCCATAGCCACGCCCTCCGTCCACAATGCGATCGCCCACACGGGATCGCAGGGCACATTGTGCCTGCGTCCCGATGCGGTCAAAATAGTGCTTGCCGCATTTTGACCGCACCACACCGGAACGCACTGCAGGCAGAATGTGTCCTGCGATCCTGTGCAGGCGATCAAATTGCGGCCGGAGGGCGTGGCTACGGCGCCATTCACATCAATGGTCCGCCACGCCCCCTCCTGCCCGGCACAAAAGTGAGCAGGCTGCAATGTGCAACGGCCAGAGACTGTGTACAGTGACACCGGAAGTGATGTACTGCACATCACTTCCGGGTCCAGTGATCGGAGGAGAGATTTGCAACTAGAAGCCACTGATTTTTCCTCCGATCTGTCAGGGGAGCACCTCCACGCGCGGCCTGGGCAGTTGAGCCCAGGAAACTGACGGTGGCACCGACGGCCGTGGAGGAGGGGGGCACAGCTCCGCACCGTACAAGCGATTCAGCGCCTGTACAGACGCCGGATCGCTTGTATTTAAAGAGCAATCGTCAGCTGTTTAAAATGGTACAAGAACATGGCTTCAGGAGCAGCCGTGTTCTTGGTATAACCACTTCCAGCGGATGACGCACAATTACGTGAACCCGCGGGAAGTGGTTAAAAAAAAAAACATGTGTAATGAAACACACACATATCTCACACACTCATTAAAAAAACACACACATAGCTTAATTTAAAAAAAAAAATCACACACATTCATTAACAATTAAAATAGTTATTTAAAAAACGTCCCCCTCTCCTGCTTACCTGTTTTGCAGGAAGGGGGGCAGCATCCCTGGGCTTCAGTGGAGAATCAGTGTCATCTGCACTCTGGCTGAGCAGACATACTAATCGATCCCTGCCTGTTAGCAGAGGCACCACGAGGGAGCGATCAGTATGATCTGCATCAGCAAGAGGTGCAGATCATACTGATTCCCCACTTGACGACCAGGGAATGATTTTCATTCAATATATTGCCTGTTCGGCAATATATTAAATGATATGTGGGCGCTTGCCAGGTTTAAAGATGGCCGCCGCTACTCACGGCGGCCATCTTTAAAAACGTATGTACAGTGGAGAGACCCCCCTGGGGACACCGGAGGAGGCATCCCAGGTGAGGGTCTGGAGCGTGCGGACAACGGCGGCCCTGTATGTGATATGCAGGCAGGGAGGAATGTATATTCTTTACATATTCTCTTTTGGTGAGGCAGGTTCTAAGAGGTTATCTATGTCATGCACAACTCAGTTACTAAGTTGTAACTTAGTACTGCCACAATTTGGCTTTAATACCTTATTACATTCCAGATGCATCAAAACAAAGGTGTGCAAAGTATAACTATTTTCTTTAAAAAAATCAGCCAAAGTCTAAGTAGTAATGCTTGTACGCTGCCAGCAAGCACCTAAGAAGGACCTTTACTCTCTGTGGGGAAGCACTGGTCTCTTTGCAGAAGTCCAAGTTGTTGGAGCTCTCTGACCGTTTTGCTAATTGCAAGGAGAAGCCGGCTCCATCATGGCCTGCCAAACAGTGGCAAAGCTTGCTGGAACTGGACACTCCTTTGCTGCTGACTGGCCACACCTTCAGAACATGTGGGGCCAATGTATTGCACAGATCATTAACCCCTTTGTGACAGGAGACGTACAGTGTACGTCCCGTCATAAAGTGGCTATATGACTGGCCACGTACACTGTACGTGCCGAGTTATATTAGCCTCTGTAATGCTGGTAACTGCTGATTCTCAGCAGTTCCAGTCATTAATGAATGCCTCACTATTGAGGCATTCATTAATGAAATAGTTAAGCTTTTGTAAAAGCTTCTTTCTTTCATTAATGAAAGAATGAAGCCTTTACATTCAGATACGGGTTCGCTAAATAGCGATCCTGTATCTGAGAGCTGAAGATAGCAGAGAGGTAGCAGTGACTCAACTCTCTGCTATTTGTTTTGACAGCTGGAGAGCCTGGCCCGATGTTAAGTGATACATTTCAAGCACTAGATACAAATGTATCTCTTGAGTAAAATGTATCAGTTTTGATCGTCTAGGAACGATCAAAGACCTTCAGGCCCCATTCACATGTAGCGACATACCTTTGCAGCGGCCGGGATATCGCGACTTTCGGGCGATGTTCCAGTGACGGTAGCGCGACCTTCTCCGTCGGGCTCCATAGAAAAAAGCAAAATCCGCCGAAAAAAGGGCCCTGTAGAAGCGACTTGCGACCGCGACATGGAGCTAAGACAGCTCCATTGACTATCATTAGCCGGCGACTTCTCGCGATATCGCGCGGCAAAAAAATAATAATAATAATAAAAACTTGCCGCTGTTGAAGAATCACACAGCAAAAATGTAAAAAGTGTGTCAGTCATTTAGGAACAGAAACTAAAAACTAGCTCAGTCATGAAGGGGTTAAAGCAAAACTGTTACAAACCAGGTCCATTCAAATTGGGCCCATGATAAAGAAGCCATCAGCCATTACCTACACTGAAAAAAGCATGTGTAACCGATAGCTGGATCCAGAGTTATCAGTTCCTGAATATAAAAAAACCTTAACCTTTTCAGTAAAAGTTCATCTTGTTCCAGTCTCTCTAAGGCCTTGTTCACACCAAGCGCGGAGCAGGTGCTGAGCAGTTGCAGACCGGATCAAAACTGCATCCAATGTATTCCAATGGTATTTTTTGCTCCAGTTCACATCGCAGCGTGCAGTTCCAGAGCAGGTCAAAAAACTGCAGCAAGCCCTATTTTTCCTGCTCTGGAACGCATGCAAAAGCATCAAAAATGCATGCAAACGCCCTGGAACACACTGAAAGCCCATTTTACCAAAAACGGCCCGGAACGCATCTAAAACGTGGCACAACCCACCGCACTGCGTGTGCCGAAACCTGAGCAGATCTGCTCTGCATTTGGTGTGAACAAGGCCTAAGCCTCCTCATTGGTTTGTTTATTTATTGGGCAGCTTTGACCAGCAGAAGGCAGCAGGGTCAAGCTTGAACTATACGAGAAACGTTTTAGATTACATACAGTATAACTTCAGCTGCTCATATCTCAGTAAAGATAACCTCTGCTTGTTCCTTCTCGTATAGTCCATGCTCCGTCTGAATTGCCTGGGTTTGTGACAGGTTTACTTTAAAAGAAAAACAAAAAAAATGGACTGAAATAATTTCCCTTCACTCCGGCAGTGTCTTCAGACAGGAGGATGGAGAATTTAATCTTCAGTTTCTTCATCTTCCTGGTTTCTTGGCACAAAAGGCAACGTGGTCTGTCCTCGTTCAGGATCTTGCAATCGAAGAATTCGGATGCGATTGCTAGATGGGAGGGAGCTGTAAAGTAACACAAGGACATTACAGTGAGCATTAGATGTATTCTCCAGCTTATATTTTAAACAAAAAAGCCAAAAAAATATGTTTCTCAGATCAGATCCAGATAAGAACAGATATACCTGCCTGCACCAATGATCAGGTGTTGGGCATACTATTGTACTACTGTATGTAGCTGTATGTAGCTGCAAAGCAGAAAGAAGAGTGACAAGATGTCACCCACCCCTAGCTCTCTCCCTTTAATGTATTAGCTTACAAAGCAGGAATTTCTATCAAAGTATGTGAACAATTTAAATGTAAGAATTTAAAGAAGTACTCCAGGCAAAAATGTTCTTAACCCTTGTAGTGGGGCTACCGTGTACTGCAAGGGTTGCTCAAGTGCTCATTTGTCTAGGGATGAAAATAAAGAAGATATTCTCACCTGAAGCTCGGCGCCGGCTGGCTGTTAGACCAGTTTCTCCAGTCTTTCTCACCCTCCGATTCAGCATTCTAAGGATCATTAAGTCATCACGTCCTATACACTGTATAGGATGTGAGGACACTGAGGAACATTCCACTGCCGGACCAGAGGTGAAAACAGGCTGCATGGACCGGTCTAGGAGCCATATGGCTCCAAGGTTTAAATCAGTATACCTTTGTTTTCCTGGCCATATCCATGGCAGCGCTGACAAATGGGTTTAGATCCAATTACCCCTAGCTGACAGGAACCAAAAGGGTTAAACAAGGCCTAACCCTCTCTATAAAAGCCGCTCCTCCTGCTGACTTTCCCAGTCTTTTTTGTTCCTGTCCCCCTAGGACAGGGTTGTTTGTATGTTACTGAGAAGTTTTTCTTTATTTGCCAACTGATTGATTTCGTATTGGCCTCAGTGGAGTTCAGCCTCTCTCCCCTGGGAAGTCTCCAAGACTCGGCCCCGTGCAAGGGTGTCCCCTTGGGGAAGGACAAACTTTGTTTCCATGAGAGGAAGCCGGATTTTCCATATACTGTGCAGCCTGTCAGACAGGGAGGGTAAGACTGGTGTGGTTTCACTTACCTGCTGTGCTGTATGATGTCCTTTTCACCTCGGCCGGCTCCCCGCGGTCTTGTCTGTTTGTGATGTGTGGGCGAGACAGGATGGGCAGTAGCGGCTTCAGCTGGCATCTGCGCATGCGCGGAAGTTCCGTTGTGCGTGACGTCACCAGAGATTCGGATCCAAATTTGAATTTGTGCGCTGCCATGGATATGGCCATGAAAACAGAAAATTTAATCATACTTACCGTCATTTTCTTTTCCTGGTTATACTCCATGGCAGCGCTGGGCTCCCACCCTATGGAGTTTTTAGCTTGTTACTAGACTGGGAAAGTCAGCAGGAGGAGGGGCTTTTATAGAGAGGGTTAGGCCTTGTTTAACCCTTTTGGTTCCTGTCAGCTAGGGGTAATTGGATCTAAACCCATTTGTCAGCGCTGCCATGGAGTATAACCAGGAAAAGAAAATGACGGTAAGTATGATTAAATTTTCTGTTATTTTCGCCACTAGAAAAAAAAAAGAGCACTTAGCCCTGGTCATTGCTCCTCTTCTGAACTGCTAACTGACTGGCAATTATGCAGACCCGCTGTCTTCAATGTCCTGGGAGACACTGACCCATAAAAAGCAGGCAGATGAGGAAAGTTACAAGTCGTAATGTAGATACTTGTTCTGGACCCAGAGGGTGAACATGACAGCCAGGTAATAGGCAATAGCAGAATAAAAACTCTAACAATGGCAGGTTTTACTCCTCTTAAATATATATATTTTTTAATCAATAAATAGCTGTACAAATTTTCTTCTATCTGCCTATAGTTAGGCTGCATTATTCAGTAGGGATGCACCAATACCGGTATTTTGGTAAGGAGTACGAGTAGCTGTAGCTCGCGGTATACTAAGCTTTGGGTCACGGGGGGACGCTACTTTATGTCCTCCAGTGACCCTTAGGAGAAATATGGGGAAAAACACTTACCCCATAGTTCTCCTTTAGATAGTGAGTGGAATGACCATCACTCAGAGAGGATACTACCAACTGGCTTTCTCAGATGATGCTCTCCTGTTTGGCCATAAGAGGGAGCCTGGGAGTAGTGAGCAACATTGCAGTCTGCTCAGAGGAAACACATGTGGGTGGATTGGTAGCCAAGCCAGAATGGAGCCCTGACAAAGACCCAGAGCTGTAAAATAAGAGTGATAACCACCATATACACTGTGTGGCCGAAAAAAAGTCACACACACTCTAATATGTAGTTGGACCACATTTAGCCTTGATTACAGAATGCATTCGCAGTGGCATCGCTTTGATAAGCTTATGCAATGTCTCAACATTTATTTCTATCCGGACTTGCATTCATTTTTCACCAAGATCTTATAGTGATGATGGGAGAGTAGGACCACTATGTAAAGTCTTCTCCAGCACACCCCAAATATTCTCAATGGGGTTAAGGTATGGACTCTGTGGTGGCCAATCCATGTGTGACAATTAAGTTGTATGTTCTAGGAAGCACTCTTACTATTTGAGCCTGGCATCATCATCTTGGAATATGCCCGATGTGCCATCAGGGAAGGAAAAAAAGCCATTGATGGAAAAACCTGGTCATTCAGTATATTCTGGTAGACCACTGACCTCATTTTTTTGGGATATAACATTGATGAACCTAGACCTGACCAACTTGAAGGAACCCCAGATCATAACACTGCCCCCACAAGCTTGTTGTGCCGCCCCAACAGGTGTATAGAATATGAGATGCATAGCCTCAGTTAATATTAGCATTGTTATATAGGTTAGAATTTATATAGTGTGATTTGCCTAACTATTTTCTCATAGCTAAATTCATGTCTTATCCTATGCTGCCATCTAGTGGCCTTTTGTTGTATCAAACATGCTTTCTGTAATTATTCCTCATGTGACGATGTATTTCCCCCTAGTGTAGCCCCTTCCTGCTTCCTGTGTGCAGTACTTCCTGTGTCATGGCAACAGTGGAAAGCCACATGTAACAAGGACACACATGTAATCTGCACAGTACGGAGGAAAGGCATCATTTTCTGACCGCACAATACTATCACCGTTCAACTGCTGTTCCTATCATCTGCTGTAAAGAATAAACACCTCCTTTTGAATGAATCGGTATTGACGAGTTCAGCTATCTGACGAGGATTGTCCGCAGTGAGTATATCTGCTTATACAGGCCAGGCATAGAGGTCTCAGCAAGGGATATATTTCGCTATCACAACGATCGGAGTCAGAATACTTGTACTTTAGGCACTAACCATGATGGGAGCATCACGTCATCCGTCTCTCTGGTTTTTATTCTACCGAACTGTTGTAAGTACAACCTTAGAGCTGCGTGTTAAACTATTAAATAACACTTTTACACTATGGAGGCGCTCTCTTTTGTTCTTTTTCTCATAGACTGGTGTTCCATCTAATCTGTGGGAGCTGCCTCCACCGTGTTTGCTGTATTTTTACTGCTGGGCTCTTTTTGGATTTGAAGGCGCCGGTATTGTTTTGCAATTTAGCCTCTCTGCTTACCCCGATGTGCTCATCACTCTGGAACAGAGCAGCAGACGAATAACTTCATCTCCGCTAGGAAAGGTCATTGACTGGAGCTCAAGAACTGCTTTTTAGCTTTTTAAAGATATACGGTAGAGTTTTTTTTTGAAAAATTATTTAGTTGCTGTATATTGTGACAGGAATACATTGATGAAGATTTGGAACGTATGGAAAAGTCAACCTTTAAAAAGATAAAACAGCTGAATAATTTGCTTTCGCATGTTGGTTTATTTGGTCAGATGTAATTTGTTACCTCATATGTTGAGGCGTTAGAAGAATGAACTGGCGATATTGCTGAGAATCTGCCATAGTGAGTATCATATCCATAGATATCCGCCTATTCACCATGTCCTGCAAGACATAATAAGAGAATAAATAATGTATAACATAAGAGATCTAAACACACATTCCTACTTTAAACATTACACTAAACAGGAGGGGAATTACAGAGAATTTATTTTTTCAATAAATTACAGTGATTTAATACTATGCCTTTAAACAGAAAGCCAACAGACAGGAAACAATATCGGCGCCTCCACATGCAATATCGGCCAGTTGAAATGGTAACAAACACACTGAAGAGGCAGCTCCCACAGGTCAAAGGACCTTCAATCTGAGAGACAAAAAACAAAAAGGAGCGCCTCCATAGTGTAAAACGAATTTTAATGATAAAAACACACAACTGTATTGTACTTACAAGAAGTCGGTAGTAAAAAGGCATGTAGAAAACAATGGGATGTCAAATCATCTAGCCACGGAAGTCTGAAAAGATGTGCAGAATCTGCGTCCACTGCCCCTGTGTGGTCTCGGTTTACATGTTTCTGGGGCACGCCCCCTTCCTCAGAACCTCTCGAGGAACATCATGAGGTACTGCCCGGCTTCCCGATCGTTCAGGAAGCCATGCTAGTGAAACTAGCTCCCTAGCCAATCAGGCAGCCAGGAGACGGATCATAACCCGCCTACCAGCTTCCTGACTTGAAAGGAAGCTGTCTCCATGCTCCCTCAAGACTGCTGGTCAGTCTTACGTTTAGGTCTTACAGTTTCTTCCTGTTTGCACTTAAAAGTTCCGACAGAGTCCCTGTGAAACACATTAAAAAGGAGCAGATAGATACACGATACAACATTTTTGTATCTTCTTACTTCCACATTATTCATATTTAGTGGAAAAAATAGGATTTTGGTACTCACAGAAAAAACCTTTTCTCTCCGTTCATTGAAGGACACAAGGAACAGATCGGAGATCATGTACTGTAGGGTAATATCGCCACCTGCAGGAGAAGGACGCTAGCCACAAAACTAAAGACCAATTACAGCCTAGGGGCGGCCCCTGCCGGTGGCCAAACCCCCCACCTGCCGACAAGTCTCCAGTTTAGTAACAAGCAGTTAGGAGTACACACCCACACACAGAGGGGCGGGCCCTGTGTCCTTCAATGAACGGAGAGAAGGATTTTACGGTGAGTACCAAAATCCTATTTTCTCTCCCGTTCATTGAAGGACACAGGGAACAGATCGGAGATCATGTACTGTAGGGACGTCACAGAGCAGTACCAAAAAAGAGGGGTGGGCCAACAGAAACAACAAACCCAACTGAATAAAAAAATCCCCTCAAACGGTCGCCTGCAACACTTTGCGCCCCAAACCAGCATCCGCAGATGTCAAAACATCCACCTTATAGAACTTGGCAAAGGTGTGAACAGAAGACCAAGTCGCGGCCTTACAGACCTGAGAAACGGAGGCACCATGACGAAAAGCCCAAGATGCCACAACAGCCCTTGTAGAATGGGCTGTAACAGAAAAAGGAGGCTCACGCCCCTTAATAGCATACGCCTGAGAGATCGTGTCGCGAATCCATCGAGAGATGGTAGCCGACGAGGCAGCCCGACCCTTCCGAGGGTCATCCACGACGACGAACAGGGAATCCGATTCCCGAAACGAAGCCGTAGCACTCAGATAAACACGGATGGCGCGGACCACATCCAGACAGTGCAGCGCATTCTCCTTCCTGTGGACAGGCTGCGGACACAAGGAAGGCAGGACAATGTCCTCATTGAGATGGAAAGCCGAAACCACCTTCGGCAAAAAAGACGGCCGAGGCCGCAGAACCACCTTGTCTCGATGCAGGACCAGCAACGGGGATGAGCAAGAGAGAGCCGCCAATTCCTAAACCCTGCGGACCGAGGTGACCGCCACCAAAAAGGCCACCTTTTGAGACAGAGTCAGAATTGGAATTTCACGCAGGGGCTCAAAGGGAGACTCCTGCAACACTGAGAGCACCAAATTCAAATCCCATGGCGGCAACGGGGAGCGAACAGGAGGAACGATAAGTGTAACCCCCTGCACAAAAGTGCGAACGAAGGCGTTGGAGGCTATTGGCCGCTGAAAAAAGACAGTCAAAGCCGAAACCTGGCCCTTAATCGTACTCAGCCCCCCGCGGCCTTCATGCCGCGGGGTGCTTACCCTGGGGCTTGGCTTTCTGGGCTGCCAGGGCCGCTTGGCGGCGGCTATTTACTATCTTATATACTTGGAAAAATAAATCATTTATAATATCTCAATCTATATGCATAAAGTCTAAAACATATACTGTACACAAAGTAAATGTAAGGTAGGAAGTCACAAAACTACATGCTGGAAGGCCTAGATGGATTAAGGTGTTACTAAAGCAAGAGAGAAAAATATCTGGAGTTTGTAGGCACAGCCCTGCGCAATGTCTGCAAAACAATGTCCACTCTACACAGTAGAATTTTTTTACTTCTTAACCCTTTCATGACTGAGGCCTTTTTTCATTTTTTGCACCCATGTTATATTCCACATTTTAGGCCTGAAAATGACTTAAAACCCCCACACATTATATATTTTCTGAATGCCAAGACCCAATAGAATAAAATGGTGGTATTTGCAAATTTTTATGTTGCGCAATATTAGCGCAACTCCTTAGTAAACCCCAACATTTAGTGAAAAATGTAATTAAATCCCCAAAACACAACAAAATACCAATTTTTTAAATGAAATATAAAAGATGAGGTTACAACGAGTAAAACTACCCAACATGCCCAGGTTACAAATTGAGTGCGTCCGTGAAACGGCGAAAAACTGCAGTACCCCAAAAAGTTCATAGAAGACGCTTTAAAAGCCCCCACAGGTCATCAATTTAGAGATACCCCAAAATACTGGCCCTAATTATTGCTCTCACTCCGGCGTGCGCAGCAATACCAAACATGTGTAGCGCGTTCGTCGTTTTCATACGTAGGCGCACCCGACGCGTGTTTACGCGACGACGCGCGGAAAACCCGCTGATAATCGTACGACAACTGCCGAACGAGACGGCGTGCGCACGCACACAATGCCCGTTCAGCATTGCAGTCATCGGAAGCCCGCCCCTCAGGGGGGCGGGCTTGCGATGATCGCAAGTACGATCTGCCTGTCCAAGATGGGCAGAGTGTATGCTTTTTTAATTACTTTACAACCCTCGCAAGACTTTTGTCTTGCGAGGGTTGTAAAGTGTATGGGCACCTAAAGCCAGGCTCTTCCTTATAATATGGTTCACATTCTGGACCCTCTCAGCCCCTTTGGCTGAGAGTCCTGGGTGCCAAAGTTGCCATAGTACACCGTGTCATTGCCATGCAATGCCACAAGACATACAAGTAAATTGTAATTGTTGATCTTTACTTCTGAAACAGCTCAATGACGAGGTGTCCACCTAATACAATAAGGTCAATATTTAGTGATTCACTGACACAGAACAAGTGAAGAGATTAGGTTCTCTGACTCCAGTCTGAATTGGATGCCTGAAGGCTTATTCCAAGTCAGCGACTCAAAATACTGAGGTCACAGGATCAGCAGGCACCTAGTACAATATGTGACCACATTTTTATGGACACCTGACCATTACACCTACCTATATGAAGACGAGGTTTGAAGAATTTTGTATAGAGGAATGTGAGTAGCCTGTACAGAGCCCTGACTGATGTGAGCCAGGTCTTCATGTCAGGCAACAGTGCTGCACAAATCTAAAGAGAAGCCAGCATTTCATAAACCCTAAACTGGAGCAGACAGAATCTGGAGTAGTTGCCCATGGCAACCAATCAGCTTCTCTTTTTTATAAATGCTTAACTGAACAAACTGAAAAGAAGCTGATTGGTTACTCTGAGCAACTGTTTCAGATACTGTCTGCTCCAGCTTTGATAAAGTCCCCCAACTGTATTAAAGCAGAGGTGTTAGTTGCATGTATTTGCAGTAAATATACTGAGGGAAATTTGTCAAAACTGGAGCAGACAAAATATGGAGCAGTTGCCCATGGCAACCAATCAGCATCCACCTTTCATTTTCAAACCTTAACCGAACAAACTGAAGAGAGAAGCTGACTGGTTGCCATGGGCAATTGCTCCAGATTCTCTCTGCTCCAGTTTTGATAAATTCCCCTCACTGTATGTGGAAGCCACACAGCCCCATCAAGGCCCACCAAGATGTCGGCAAACTTTTGGCCCTATACTGTATTTTTTAGAAGTAGGCCTACAATGGCAGGTGACACATATCTCTCAGTACAGGTTTCTTTGATGGTGTTACGCAGAGCTAAAAGGCAGAGTTTGTTAAACTTACTGCATAGGACTGAGACTGGAGTCTCAGAGGGAAAAAAACTATGTGATATAATGTACACGCTCAGGGGATACCCTACGTTAACCCTACACATCCTGCTTTCCCCTTGGGCCATCCCAGCTTTACTTTTTTACTCTGCCGCTGTAGTGGGAAAAAGTTTCTTTAATACTCTGTGACATCACCAGGCTGGAAAAAAATCTTGCAGGGGCAACTGGTGAGAGCTCAGTGAAAACTGATATAGGCATGGGCTCATCCATCCTTCAGAACTACAGTACATCTTCCAAAAACCCTTTTTCTCCACAGAGTGTTTGGGCAGGATCTTGGGAGCCAAGGCAGCAGCATTGTTTTCCTGGGTAATAAATCATTGTTTGTATGTGGAGAGCAACAGAGAGGGGTGGGGATAGTCACTGTTCTGTAGTCCAGCAGCAGAGCTGACAACACAGGTTGGGATTTCAGTACAGCAAAGGCACTGTGTTTTCAGTCCAAACAGGACGTTAGGAGCACAGTGGATTTCTGTCAGATGAAATGGTATGTTTTTCAACCACTAAAACAAAAAATATATATAAATAAAACAGATGAACATTACCATGTGTGCATCAAATTCATCCAGACACTGGAAAGGGGACTCAGCAATCGACCAGAGAGAAAGCAAAAAACAAACAGATGAGAAAGATCGTTCCCCTTCAGAGAGAGACCTCATATCGGTTATTGAAGCTTTATTTCCTTCTCCGGGCTGGACCTACAAGGGAGAAAAGACACTTAATAATAATGCATTACAGTCTGGGCTTATACATATACTGCACAGGCATTCCCATAGACCTAAATGCCAGGAGTGACACCTAAATTGGAGTGACTGCACAAGATATTGTGTTTGGGGCCTGTACTGTAGTGTACACATCAACTGAAGCCTCTATTACTGGATCACTTAGTAGTGGACCTAAGGAACAAAGGGCCCTGGTGCAAGATTTTATCTTGGTCCCCCCTTCTCGCTCCCTTGAGGGGGGTTGATCAGTCTCTGTACAGAGGAGCTTACATTCTAATGCAGAATAGCACTGGCTGTAGAGGTACTACATATCCCAGCAATAAAGAACAGTATACGAATTGAACCCAGGACCCAGAAACGCACTGGACCCTGGAACGCCCTGGACCCAAAAACGCACTAGATCCAGAAACGCCCTGGACCCAGAAACGCACTAGACCCAGAAATTACCTGGACCCAGAAACGCACTAGACCCTGGACCCAGAAACGTCTAGACCCAGAAACGCTCTGGACCTAAAAATGCACTAGACCCTGGACCCAGAAACGCACTGGACCCAGAAACGCACCAGACCCAGAAACGGCCTGGACCCCGGACCCAGAAACACACTGGACCCAGACACGCACTGGACCCAGAATCGCACTGGACCCAGAAACGCACTAGACCCAGAAACGCACTGGACCCTGGACCCAGAAACTCACTGGGCCCTGGAACCAGAAATGCACTAGACCCTGGACCCAGAAACGCACAGGACTCAGAAATGCACAGGACCCACCTGAGACACCACAGAGCTGACCTGAGACCACGCACAGCCCACCTGACATCCTGCAGAGCCCACCTAAGATCATGCACATCCCAGAGACCCCACACAGCCCACCTAAGAGTGACCTTGCAGAGCCCACCACACACCCCACACAGCCCACCAGAGAGCCAGCACATCCCACCTGAGCGTGACCCTGCAGAGCCCACTATAGATCCTGCACAGAACACCTGAGACTCCATATGGTTGGCTCTGCAGGGTCTCAGGTGGGCTGGTCGGGGTCCCTTTCCATGCACACGCAGCACTTCTAACCTGTCCGCCCCATGCCACCCGCTGCTGAGCTCTGGCCTCCTCCACCACTGGACCGGCACTGCTGGGCCCTGCCCTCCTCCACCACCAGACCGACACTGTTGGGCCAGTCTGGCGGTGGAGGAGGCCCAGGGCCAAGCATTGCAGGTCCAGAGGTAGAGAAGGCCAGGGCCCAGCAGCGGAGGAGGCTGAGGCCCAGCAGAGCCAGTCCGGCAGCAAAGGCCCCGGCCTCCTCCTTCTCCACTGCCGGACCGGTGCGGCTGGGCCCTGGCCACCGGGAGTTCCGCTACTGGTATCACTACATTATCATATCCTGTATAACGCTTGCAACATAAATAACCCATGACACCAAATCTACTGCATCACTGCACACAATGTCAAGCATGTGACAAGTGTCGCAGTATAAACACATAAAGACATCACATTATGCTATGTAAGCTACTGCAGCAGCATAAACAACATATCACCGTGTACCTACATACAGGCTTCTGCTGCACAGAATAGCACCACCAGTAGACTGCATAAGAATGTCATGGCCCTTACCCGTTGCATCTTGGAGATGTCAAGACGCTCATGAGTGGGTAAGAAAGGACCCCGCTTACGCCGAGGCTCCCCACCCGGCTAGGCTTGTTCAAGAAGGTACTTCCACCAAGAGTGATGATATACATGGATCCAAATCTGGAGTCCACTCCTCTGTCCATCGGTTCCTTGAAGGAGGGAGATTCCTCATCCATAACAGGCGCGACACAGATGGGAACCCAACTGGGGGAGATGCCTGCTGCGTAAGTGGGCCCAAAAAGGTAGCGAAACAAAATGCAATTGTGACAAGCCAACGACGGACACTACCATTCCCTATGAGGGAGTGTAATAAGACACTGTAAACAAGTGGTATGATCCGTGTGCACCAAAGGAACCTGAAGATCTGACAGAGCATCCACAGGATCCTCATAATAGAAACACAGACATAAAAGGTAAAGAACATTCCATCACCAGTGGATGGAAACTTGTTGTCACTGCCCAAGCAGCAGAGCTCAGCATCCCTGTCAGGAGAAACTGAAACCACATAGGCGGGCTCCACCGACCAATATTGCAGGTCAAGGCTATCCTATGCGGGACCCCCAAGTCAGACCCTGAAAACCGAGCATGAAGAGGGAATGTACTCAATCTGCAGTGCATGCAGGTCATGCTGGGACATGTAGTCCTTTAGTGTAAAATACACAGTATTTACAGAGCATGCTGGGACTTGTAGTCCTCTAGTGTATACTATGCAGTACATACAGGGCATGCTGGGACGTGTACTGCCCAAGCATATAATTCACAGTATGCACATGTCATGCTGGTACTTGCAGGCCCTAGTGTGCAACGAACTTGTGCATTATGACTAAAGGTCGCTGGTTAACCTGGTGAAAGCCTGCACTTAAACCCAGGGCCCAGGGGTGCGTGACCGGCCATGGTGGTGTGAAGATGTGCAGACAGGAGCTCTGCTGCACCGGGGCTCTTATTTAGTGACTTTTTAGCCTTTTAGGCTGCTCTCTCCCCCTATGCCCGACGGTCGGGACTCACCCGGTTCCCCTGCTTCCTCCATCACCCGGGACATTGCCTCCTATTTCACGCGGCACTCCCGCACAGGTCCTCTAGATAGCGCTGCACCTGTAGGCCCAAGATGGCGCCGAAAATCGTTCCGGCGAAGAAGGCCGGGACGGACCCCCCGCAGCCTCAGACGCCAGCCCAGGGCCTCCGCTCGTCGGTCCGCTCCACGGGGCAGAAGACACTGGATGCCCTGCAGCCTCCCCACTCCTCTGAAGCCCCGAGTTCTGCCGAGATCGCCACGGATCCATCGATGCCGGCAGTATCCCATGACACAGACCGGCCTGCAGCTACAGGCACAGAATCTGCAGCCACAGAGGTACATGACCTTCTCACCGCCTTTCGGGCGGACTTTGACTCCTGGGCCACTAGATTGGAGGGGGCTCTGCGGGGGGAGGAGAGAGAGCTCGACCAGAGGATAACAGCCACTGACTCCCATCTATCAATTTTGTCAGCCTCAGTCTCGGCACAGGAGTCCAGGCTGGTGACCCTAGAAAATGCCCATGCCACCCACCGCTCCCACCTCCAGCAGTTACACCTGCGAATGGAAGACAGCGAAAACCGGAGCAGGCACAATAACATCCGCCTGCGTGGGATACCGGAAGCTACCCAGGGCCCTGACTACATGCCACAGTGACCGCTATACTTAACTTGGCTCTGGGGAAACCACCCACAGATGCCATTGAGCTGGACAGGGTACACCGGGTCGCGGGAGCTAACCTGGGAGACCCCAACCGTGTGAGGGATGTCCTGTGTCGAGTACACTTTTTTGCCATCAAAGAGGAGATCCTCCGTGCAGCGTGGCGAACGGGCCCGGTTGATTTCGATGGGGCCTCCATACAGCTTCTTCCGGACCTATCTCGCCTGACTTTGGCCATGCGTAGATTGGTACGACCATTGCTGGATGTGATCCGCCAAGTCGGCGCCACATACCGCTGGGGGCACCCCTTCAGTCTCCAGATCCGAAAGGGCCACGACTCCTTTCATCTCCGTTCTCCATTGCAGCTTCCAGATCTTTTTGGATTTCTTGGGACTGACCCGATCTCCATCCCGGACTGGCTGGACTTACCATTCATCGGAGAGGGTCCCATGCCACAAGACGTCCTGCCTCAGCGTCGCAGGAGGGCCCGCTCCCGTTCCAATCGGAGGGGCCAGGGTCCGTCTCTGCCTACAGCCCCCTCATCTAACGAGGGCTGATTACGGACCCTAACCGCCTAGCTTTGGGTTCTAGCTCACTCTATTGTGCCTGACTTCATGTCTATGTAGTATATCCTCATATGCCTCCTTATGTTGTTGTTATGCCTCTAACTAACCCCTCTTTATTCTCAGGTATTGGGCTGAATGCCGCGTTTGGCTTTGCCAAGCTGCTATCTCTGCTAACCTGTCGGAGCCCTGCCCTAAATGAGGAAGCGAGACACCAGGCATTGACCCTTCGCCGGGGTGTAAGCTCCAGTTGACCCTGCTTACTACATGCATTGAGGCTTTTGATGCTACATTGTTCCATGCAATACCGTTTTACTTAGGGGAGAAGGACAAAACACACACATGAACTGACACGGATGGAATGAAGCGAGCGAGAGGCAACAAACCATTGGACTCTACTTAGGAGACCTTTGGATTTGAATTAAAGATATTGGAGCTTCCCTGGTTCCCTTTGTGTGTCTGTGGCTCCGCCGTATGTTACTTTCTGGGGGTAATGAGAGTTGCTCCTGTCCCCCTGGTGTTAGGTTTCTCCATGATACTTGACCCCTAGATTTATACCGATCCCCCTGAAGAAGCCTACGAGCGTAACGCGTAGGGGACTAACAAAGCAATACAACACTGCATACGAAAATCAAGGAATTATCAATATGCATAGTGGAATATGAATTATATAGAAAATATTTATGAAATGTGAAAAGAAGTAATAATTTTAGGGTTATAAGAATCATGTATATATATGAGCATTGTTTTTAATCTTTATAATTATGTAATGAACCTTTTATATGAACATCAACAAATTTGTATGAATTATAATTATGAGTTCCCTCAAAAAAAACCCTTCACAACTTACAGGTGAAACTCGAATAATTAGAATATCATGCAAAAGTAATTGCAGTAAGTGCTGCAAAAGGGGCCCAAGCCAAGTACTGAGTACATATGCATGCTTGTACTTTTCAGAGGTCCGATATGGTTCTATGTACAATCCTTGTTTTATTGATTGCATGTAATAATCTACTTGTTTGAGGTTGTGGATTTGGGGTTCTTGGGGTTTTCATGAGCTGTAAGTCATAATCATCACAATTATGACAAATCACGGCTTGAACTCTCTTGCTTTGCATGTAATGAGTCTATCTCATATATTAGTTTCACCTTTTACGTTGCATTAGTGAAATAAATGAACTTTGCACGATATTCTAATTATTCGAGTTTCACCTGTAGGTTGTAAATGTATAGATAATTAACTATTTTGGGGTGAGGCCTCTATTCACCTGGGGGAGTACTTTGGGAAGTGCCTTTTTTTGGAGTGATACCATTTTATTTAGCTCACTCAGGTTATGGGGATAACTATTGTTGTTGAATGATTTTATTTTCCATGTGAGCCCTGGTAAGCATCTCCGCTCCTCCTTGTTCAGTCACCTCCCCCACATAGGTGACACATCTCCTATAGGAGATAGTGTGTTCTAGCTTTGCTAGACTCTTTAACGTTACGTAGCGGGTTTTATCTGCCCTTTTCAGTTTTTGTCTCCCCCTCCCTAACCACCTGTTCCAGGTGTACATATTCCCTCTCCCTTCCTTGCTCTCTCACCTGCCTTTCCTCTACTGCTCTTTTCCCCTCTGCTTCTCTGATTCTACCCCTTCTAGCTGTTGGCCTTTCATCTCTCTTCCTCTCGACTTACCCCTCCTACCCTCTGCCATGGTACGGCCGGCTCCTCCGCCCGCTGAGCTGCGGCTCTGCACATATAATGCCAGAGGCCTTAACATTCCTTCCAAAAGAGGTCAAATTATGTACCATATGCATAAAACAAGGTGAACATTGTCATGCTCCAGGAAACCCACTTTCAAACTAACCATGTTCCCTCCTGTGCCAATAGGTATTTCACCGAGTGGTACCATAGTGCCAACGATATCCACAAATCGAGGGGGGTTTCCATTGCTCTCCACAAGTTTCTTCCCGCAACGGTGTTGGACCACCGTGCAGATCCCTTTGGCAGATACCTTCTGCTGAAAATATCACTCTGGGGTAGTATCCTCACTCTTGCCAATTTCTACCTTGCCAATACAGGCTAAACGGCTGCCTCTCTTGAGTATTTACGGATTCTGGAGGATTACGCTGAGGGTACACTATTGGTGGGTTGGGATTTTAATCTTACTCTGGATCCCGGCCTATACTCGTCCACTGGACGCTCTGCTGTGTCCTTTCCCAAATTACGCAGAGTTAAACTTCGCTTGGCCAGCCTGCGCTTGATTGATGCCTGGAGGGTGCTTCACCCTCAGTCCCGTAACTATACACATTTTTCTACGCCACACCACTCCTACGGCAGATTGGATTACTTTTTCACCTCCCATCATGTGCTCGACTGGAACCCTGACTGTGACAATGGCCCCATGATATGGTCTGATCATGCGGCGGTAACGCTCACACTACGGATCCCTCAGGCCCAGACTAGGGCATGGACCTGGCGATTGAACGACTCCCTGCTAGCTGACCCGCACTGTTCATCGGCTGTCTTGGACGGGCTCACTCATTTTCTTGAGACCCATGCATCCGACGCTACCCCGCTGCCACTCCAGTGGGAAGCATTGAAGGCGGTACTGCGTGGGCTTTTCATTCAACAGGGTGCTAGACTGAAGAGGGAACGGTCTCGACGTATCCGAGAGGCGTTCCAGGACCTATCGACTTTAGAGACTCACCTAGAGCTGCAGCTAACGATTATTTTCAAAATCGATTAGTTAGCCGATTATCATTTTACAATTCCTTCCGGGATCAGCTGACTCCCTTCCTCCTACTGGTGTTTAACTCAATCGTGCGTGGAAACTCCTTCCCTCCTCAGTCGCTAGAGGCACATATTTCGTTGATTCCTAAGCCCGGTAAGGACCATTCCCGATGTACAAACTATCGGCCGATCTCACTTTTGAAGCTGTGGGACCGATATGTCTCTAAACACTCCATGTTGGCCTACATTGGCTCGATGACCCCTTTATTTGGGATCCCGGCTTTCCCCCCGGCCCTAACTGGATCTTCCTTCAGCAGATGGACAAAGGCTTCCCATCGCAGAGTGCTCTCAGCATTACAGGCCCAGCCTCTGGCAGGGGTGGCCCGCCCTGACCCAGGCCCTGGGGAATGGTTGTCGGAAGGACAATTTCGCTCTTTTGTTTCCCCACTTCTTGGACCGGAAGGTCTCGATGGGGAGCCGACAGAGTTTGACTCCCTCCTACTGGCCTCAACACCACCGTCCCACGTAGTCTCCCTTATCTACTCCCTCCTCTCCCATTTGACATCCCCTACTCTGCCTACCTACACCTCAACTTGGGAACGTGAACTGGATCTCACCTGTACAACTGATGACTGGGAGAAGTCATTTGCCCTTACACATTCTCTCTCCGTAGCTAGTAAGGCCCACGAGAAGAACTTTAAAATACTCACTAGATGGTACCGATGCACTTCTGTCCTACATCAGTATTACTCCACGGTGTCGGATTCTTGTTGGAGATGCGGTACCTCCCCAGGAAATATGACCCATATATGGTGGAGCTGCCCTATGCTCCAAGGATTCTGGCAGGAGGTGTTGAGGATATACCTCAGAGTGACGGGAACAGTAACTGCAAACGACCCCAAAATTCTGCTATTGTCCATGATCCCTGGCCCACTCAAGCGGGCGAGGAAGGGTCTTCTGCGACACTTTCTTACAGCAGCCAGGACTGTTATCCCATGGGACTGGCGCACACCGGTGGTACCCACCCTTGCGGAATGGGTTGTAGAAATGGACCGCATTGCTGACCTAGAGAGCCTTCTGGCAGAGGAACGTGCTGAGGGGGACAAATATGTCCACACGTGGTCCGCCTGGATTGTTTTCAGGAACTCTGATGGATTCCTAGCTGCCCTCTCGCCTTAATATACTCCCTCTGAAGAAGCTGTTTGATTGCCTGGCAGGAGGTGGGAGATCACCATCCCCTTTCCTGACTCTTTCTTTGCTCTGCCCACCTGTGCTTACCTTCTCCCTTCCTTCTTCTTCCTCTAAGAACTGTTCTCACTTACCCCCTCCCCCTTTCCAATGCTATACACAAGATGTTGGTTGACCACCTGCTGTGCAAGGCTGCCCGAGAAGCACGCTATACTCACTTATGCGGTTTGCATCCTAACCTGTCTCCAGGCCTCATGTTCAGCTGTGATGGGTGGAGACGCTACGAACGTTCCTCGGTGTATACCGCCATACAGGATTTTCACTATGCGCTGTGCTAAGGGGGCCACCACTGATGTAGATGTTATGACTTTGATTATAGTCTGATACCTGTCTTGCTGACGATGCCCTTGGGCCCAAGGGCCTGTAGGCCCTTATCTTGCCCCTGTTATTATTTGTATTGTGTATTGTGTTTTTTTTTTCTTCCTGTTTTGTATTTTGTTTTGTTTTTTTTTGTCAAGGTGGAATTGTCTGTTTGCCTTTTTGTACCACATTTGCAAATCTTTAATAAATTCAGATTGAACTAAACCCAGGGCCCAGTGGCAGAACAGAAGTGTGTGCCCCTTGCAAAAGGCTGCCACAGCCTAAAGAGGGACAGGGATTTGCCTACTGGATTGGGACTAATCCACTTCCAAATGTGTTGCAGCACAAATGGCAATGCAAGGAGATCCTCAGGTCTGGGGGAAGGGAGCAAAATCACAGCCTCAGTGGCTTAGATACAGCTAGGTTGAGGTAAGAATCCTCTTTAGATAAGTTGAAGAAGATTTAGACAGAAACCATCTCCTAGTAGAGAGAGAGAGATATTGTCCTTCACCAAATGACACTAGCAAAGAAACAAGGATTACTTCGATTGAGGGTTGGGGTTATTTGGGTTGATCAACAATTAGGTTTGCCAGTGTCCAAATAACCTGAAATTGGCTGAATATAACCGGGATCTCTGATTAAGGGAGCCTATGTCCCATACTATACAAGTAAGAAAACAGGAATTTGCTCAATGAAAGTGAGCTCTGTTCATGTATCAATGCTTTCCACCACAGCGCCACTATGTTCTTTGTGTGATTACTGAATAAAAGTCACTGTCTACAAGAATGATCCAAGCCAATAATATAGTTTTAGGACTAGTATGGAATGTTCTGATGCAGCCATCTCATGACACACTTACGGTAATAGAGAGTGTCTCATTCTTGTGGTCGAATGAGATTTTCCCAGAGTAGGATCGCTGAGAGAGTAAGGAGTCAAAGTAAAACTTGCATCGCAAACTGAGATACCTGGAGAAAGACACAATGAGAAAATAAGTGCATTGCATTGGAATTAAAGCAACATAAAACCCTTGCTTTATCTCCTTATACACATCGACACAATGGACATTCTCCAAAGCCACATTTATTTATGTTTTACAATAAAGTCTTACTATTTTAATCTCTTTAGAAAGTCTGCTGTGCTCACTCCCGTGTCTCTTCTCTCCAGTCACACTTCCTGTCACTTAGAAAGAGCTGTGCATGTTGATTCTGGTCACATGCACATCTTTCTTTGCCTACAACTCTCTGCAGGATGTGGCGGGCTTTGCAGGATCCGTAGGGGGCTCTGCAGCCTGCAAAGCCCACCACAGATCCTACACAGCCCACCTGAAATCCTGCAGACTGCAGGGGCTCTCTGCAGGATCTGTGGGGGGCTTTGCAGGATCCGTAAGGGGCTCTGGAGCCTGCAAAGCCCACCACAGATCCTGCACAGCCCCCCTGAGATACGGCAGACTGCAGGGTCTCTGCAGGATCTGTGGGGGGCTTTTCCGGGTCTCAGGGGGGGTTTGCAGGATCTGTGGTGGGCTTTGCAGGATCCGTAGGGGGCTCTGCAGCCTGCATAGCCCCCCTGAGATACTGCAGGATCTGTGGGGGGCTTTGCAGGATCCGTAAGGGGCTCTGGAGCCTGCAAAGCCCACCACAGATCCTACACAGCCCCCCTGAGATACTGCAGGGTCTCTGCAGGATGTGTGGGGGGCTTTGCCGGGTCTCAGGGGGGCTTTGCAGGACCTTTGGTGGGCTCTGCGGGGTCTATGGTGGGCAGAGCTCATTACAGATCCTGCAAAGCCCCCCTGAGACCCTGCAGAGCCCACCACAGATCCTGCACAGCCCCCGAGAGCACAGCTTTCCTGCTACGCTAATAGCAGAACATGTCAAAAGCTGGATACAGCGTGTACACTGTATCCAGCGACTGACAGGTTACGCAAAAAATATTAAACAGGAAGGGGTGGGGTAAATTTAGTGTGGAGCTCAGATGTAAGCCCAACTAGCCTGCTTAGTTTAACAGCGCAGTGGATGCTTCATGCCCAAAAGTTTGTTGGGTCACACACTGCAGCAGCGATATCAGAAGCACCCCAATCCACAGCAGTGCCACAGCAAGTGCAGCTACACAACAGCAGGAGATTTATCTATCCAAACACCTATTGCCAGAAGTGGCAATCTCCTTGACTACTGGCGCATGAACAGGGAACACTTTCCTTTCTTTGCACTGATGGCACACGGGCATTTATCTGCCCCATGCGCCAGCACAGAGAGTGAGAAACTGTTCCCACGTTCTTGATAAGAGGAACCGTCTCTCTTCGCAGAAAGTTGAACAACTTTTGTTCTTGAAAAGAAATTACACTTTTACTAAAGTAGAAAGCAGTCCAGTTTGCTAATTATTTGCATTAAAATTGTGTAGCCATGTTACTTCAGGCTACATGTGTTGTTTACACTTTAAAGTTGAATTCAGTTCTTTTATAACTATTTTGCACTATAATTTTTTCTTAAAATAGTTTATAACTAAATGAGACAACTGTCTCTTTTTTTTTTTTTTTTAAACAATTTATTGGGTTTTTCAGGAAATACAGCATCAATGACCAAGGGAACGCTAGTTCGGCTTCCAGTGTGTAATTAGAACTGTCTCATTTTTAAAACAAAATTAAATAAAACCACTTTTTAGCTTATACTTACCAGCCACTGGTTCCTTCCCCTACATCTTAGTCGCATTCCAAAGAATGCAAAAAGGCAGCACACCCCCGATACAAGATTACTACTCTCTGATGGTGCTTGTGCACACTTTTGGGATTCCAATTTACAAGAAATGTGACAAACACGAGGGTGGACCCAGTGGCTGGTAAGTATTAGCTAAAAATAAAGGATTTATTTTTAAAAGGAGACAGCTGTCTCATTCAGTTATTAAACTACTGAATGAGACAATTGTTTCAACTGGTGTTTTGAAGGAATGCATGTCCCTTTAAAGTGGAATAAACAGAATGGTGTTTTGCCCTTTTACACTGAAACAAATTTAAGCCTAGAACTGCTGTTTGAGTTTATTACTGGAGTTGCTGTTACGCAATAATACGTTTTATATATTAATATATAATTGTATTTTTTGTCCAATTTTGGGGCGTTATTGTAAATAAAAGTTTGGTTATTTTATTATATTGACTTGGAGCTTTTCAATTCCAGTTATTTTAAATCAATAAAGCTAATTAAATGGTCTAATTTAATACATACAATTAGTAAAAAAAAAAAAAATAATAGGCGGGGGAAACAAAAAGTCATTTTCAGTTTAGAATTTTAATTTCCGTGCATCCTTACTCATTACCTATATGAACCATGCGCAGTCAATATAAAAATAAAATATTTTCACAATTGTTGCCTTATATTTACTGTCTAAACTAAGAGTTCCACTTCAAGTCGTTGACCTAAAAAAGCAATGCTGCATGTATGACAGAATCGGACTTCAACACTGCAGCCAATAGTTAGTTTCCAGTCAACACCTAAGGAAGGCCATGCTTTTTTTTTTCTATAAGAAAAGATACTGGTGCAAACAAATTGCATAAAAAATACAGCAGAAATAAAGGCAAAATAAGAGGTGAGAAGGTAGGTCTACCTGAGGAATTTCTGGTACATCTTATATCTCTGTGTCATTATGTCCTCCAACAGTTTAACAAACTTCTTGAGATACTTTACTTTAATACGCATTTCCTGATATTTCTCTTTTGAAGCAAGGTATTTTCTGAAATAAGAAAAACAATGGCAAAAAATCAGTACGTGACTCGCATAGGGTTGCCACCTGTCCAGGATTCACCCGGACAGTCCGGGTTTTGAATGCTGTGTTCGGGTTTCATTGGTAGCAGAAACCCAGACACAAGATGTCAGGCAGACAGGGGAAGCCAAAATTAGGATAGGGGCTACTGACCCCCTACTCTCAACTGTGATATTTACATAACAATGGGTGACTCTATTAACATATGAATAAGCCACGACTCATTCTCCCAAAAAAATGTTTGTGTGTCGCTAGAGTGTTCGGGTTTCGCTTGAAGAAAAGGTGGCAACCCTAGACTCGCATTACATTAAAATGTCAACTCCAAAGCAAACAAACTAAGAAAAAAAATGTATGGTCTCAGCCACAGATTCATTTATTAATGTGCAAAATGTACTTACATTTTGGGTTGTCCTGTTATAACAAAAATAAGAGTTTTGGTACTCACCGTAAAATTCTCATCTCTCCGTTCATTGAAGGACACAGCCATTTCTTCAATACTGCATTTAACAGAGGGGTTATATTGCCACCTGCAGGAGAAGGTCGCTTGGCACAAAAACTTGAAAGCACAACCATGAGGGCAGCCCCATGCTGGTGGCCCAAACCCCCACTGGCTAGAAGCAGCTCAGTTAATCCTTAAGCAATAGAGAAGACACACAGAAAACTTACGGAGGGAAGGGGGCTGTGTTTTTCAATTAATGCAGAGAAAACATTTTTTATAGTGAGTAAAAAAATCATATTTTCTCATCTGTTCATTGAAGGACACTGCCATTTTTTCATTACTTCATTTAACAAAAGGGGGGGGGGCGTGTCCTGCTCATGGCGGAGTAAGACGTGTGCTACACGAGCTCCGTGGCTTCCTCTACTTTTACAATATAACGGACGATTTATACCACCCAGTTGGATCCCACCAAATGACCTCTAAACGCAGGAAGGAGGGTGCTTCATCATCCCAGTCCGGGACCCCGTCTTTACAGCAATATTTCGCCTCTACGAGGTAAAGGACCCGAGGCTGCGTTCCCTCCAACATGGAGCCTGACCCTCACCTCCCACGCACACCACGAGGCCGGAGACGCTCTCTCTTCCCAGCACCCCGCGGGACCCCGTCCAGACTTCACTCACCTCGTCATTACGATTCGGACTCAGCAGACACTGATCCGTACCCACTGTGTGAGCAGCCGACGGACGTCCCTCAGGAATTCCGGGCATTACTGAAATACATACCGATCCGGGCCCAGAGGGATTTACCCTCCAGTATTACAAAACGTTCCCCGCCTTGCTGTCTACCCCTATGCTTGCTGCATGGAATTCAGTGCGAGAGGGCAACCCCCTCCCTAGGGATGCCTTATCGGCCCACGTGGTAGTTATTCCCAAACCTGACAAGGACCCAACGCTATGCCCCAGCTACCGCCCGATATCCCTGCTGAATGTGGATACTAAGTTGCTGGCGAAGGTCCTATCCATGAGATTACTCCCCCACATCCCAGCTCTAATTCACCCAGACCAGGCGGGATTCGTCCCATCCAGAGAGGCCCGTGACAACACCACCCGCGCCCTCAACATCATTCACTCGGCCATGTCGAAGTCCATCCCGTGCCTTATTCTGTCCACGGACGCCGAGAAGGCATTCGACAGGGTCGACTGGTCTTTTCTACGTCTCACGCTGGAACACATCGGGCTGGGTCAGAGCATGCTAGCGGGGATACTGGAATTATATTCCCACCCGACAGCCAGGGTCTGCGTTAACGGGACACTCTCATCAGCGTTCACCATATCTAATGGCACCAGACAGGGCTGCCCGCTCTCACCCCTCATTTTTATCCTGACCCTTGAACCCTGCTCCGCACCATTAGAGCTCACCCTGATATCCATGGTATTGAGGTGGGGGGGCCAGGCACATAAAATAGCGGCATATGCGGATGACCTCCTGTTTTTCATTTCGACACCGGACACAACCATACCTAGTCTACTCCAGGCCCTACAGCGATACGGCGAGCTATCGAACTACCACATTAACACCCAGAAGTCGGAGGCTCTAAACTTGACTATTCCCCCCCAATTACTAACGCGCCTACAACAGAACTTTCCTTATCAGTGGTCCTCCACAGCACTCCAATCTGGGGATAAAGCTGCGGACACTTACAACCTCAATTTTCCCCCACTATTACAAAAGGTCAAGACAGACATTCAAGGATGGGCTCGCTCTACATTTTCCTGGACAGGTCGCTGTAATATCATCAAACAAAATATCCTCCCACGTTTCCTATATCCATTCCAAGCCCTCCTGATTATGGTTCCACGCTCCTTTCTCCGCTCGTTGCAGGCAGTGGTGACCAACTTTATATGGGCCGGCAAGGCCCCACGAATCAAACTGGCGACTCTGAGACGCCCCAAAGCCAAGGGGGGGCTAACCCTTCCCGCCTTCCATTTATACTACATAGCCTCACACTTGGCTAGGGTCATTGATTGGTGCTGTCACAGCGCCACCAAGCCCTGGATACAGGTGGAACAATCCGTAACCAAGATCTCCCTGCCAGGTCTACCGTGGTACGAGGGACGCCTACCCCAAACACTTAGGACACACCCGACTATAGGCCCCACTTGGAGGGCGGCCCGCTGGGCCTTCGTGCGCAAACAACTATCCCCTGATCCGTCTCCTCTGCGGCCGATCTTGGGGGCTCCGGATTTCCCCCCTGGACTGGAGGACGGCCCGTTTCGCCGCCTTATGGCGGGGGGAAAATTTTGAGCGCTTCACTTCCTCCATGGCCCTAACTGGCAGATTTGTAGAGACTCCCCTACAGACCCCGATTTTGAAAGTCTGGACACATGGCGCCTGCACCAACTGTCACACTTTCTCTCCTCACTTCCTCCACCTACCTCCTACACGGAACAGCTCTCACTTTTTGAGCAAACCTGCTCCGACAAGGGACCCATTGCTAAAACACTGTCTCTATGCTACCAGCTGGTACTATCTGCAGATCTGGAGACCCCACTCTGATTCCTTGAACGCTGGGAGGGGGAGCTGGGGATTCAGTTCTCACAGGAGGTAGGTGCCCAGCTGTTACGACACTCCCTGAAGTCATCCATCTGCGATACCAGGAACTGGGATACAAAATCCTAACGAGGTGGTACCGGACCCCTCATAGACTTCATCAGATGTCACGGGAAAATCCGGACATTTGCTGGCGCTGCGGCTCCTCCCAGCAGCAGAGGCAACAACATCAACCTTAACAAAACGGGTAAAGGTGTGCATCAACGACCAGGTGGCCGCCTTATGAACTTGAACAGAAGCCTGATGATGAAAAGCCCAGGATGTGCTAACAGCCCTAGTAGAGCGGGCTGTAATCAGAAAGTGTGAAGAATGGCCCCCAAGAGCCTAGGCCCAAACAACAACCTGCCTAATCCAACGTGAAATGGAGGCCACCAAAGCCACCTTGCTTTCCCTAGTACCGTCGGTAAGAAGAAAAAAGGGGAGTCTGACTATGGAACGACTCAGTAGCAGAAAGATAGACATGCATAGCCCGAATGACATCCAACTGTGAAGAGACAAGGGAAGGAACGTACGTTAAAAAAAGGACTGCAGACAGAGAACCTACTTGTCCTCACGTACGACCAAAAGGACTTTACAGACAAATGGTCTCTAGGTGGGTTTTGTCACCAGACTGGGAAAAGTGTCACCTCACCTTGCGTGTATTTCAATGTTCAGAAGGCTTAACAAAGGTCATATCTCATAACTCCCGTCCCATACATTATATGATCGTACAACCTTCAGGGAAAGAACGGTGGCACCAAAGTGACACCAAACATCAGAGGTCTACCATTAAGTATGGCAGAGTTCTGATAATTGGGTCTCTTTAAGGTATTTCTGCTTCTGTTAGCTGTAGGGTGCCAGTGTTTGGACTCTGCGGATAGCAGAACAATAGCTGGAACCAGAGCCATCACTTTCGGATCCATAGTTCATAACTGGAAACAGTTATGAGGGTCCAAGATGATGAATACAAAAATAATACCTGAAGATCCAGGTGTTAAAATTCAGTCTCCAGCCCCTTCCATCTGATTGGCTGATCTCAGGGGGTGGAAACTGGTTTTGATCCTCATAGTATAATAATGGAGATCTGAAACCGACACATTCAAGCGGTCCATTCACATATGGGAGTGTGTCCATGTTTTTCTATTCAACCCCGGAAGCAGGATTAAGCATAATTTCTGTACGTTTTATTTTCAAACTGTTTGCTTGTATGTATGTGTGTCTCACTTTGTAACATCTGCTTTTTGTAACCACCTTTTTCTATGCGCTGCCTGTCTTCATAAGATTAGAAGATTCATTAGCTAATAGTTTTTGAGTCAAGTTACAAAAAGGCTTTGAATAACCAAACAGAAGCTTAGTATTACAGTTGCTGCAGCGTTAATCCTGCTTAGAAGCTGGGAGGGTCAGTGGAACAGAACCTTGGGGTCCCAACTTTTCAGAAAAAGAGGGGTCCTAGACAGAAGCTAAATAGTTAAATAAAGTAAGGTACAATAACCTGACTTCCCCCAAGCCATCCATCCGATCACTGCACCAGAGGCAAGGCCATAGAAAATAAAGCTACTCACCGAGACCTTAAACCTGGAGTTAGTGCCGCTTATCTGCCATCATACTCCTTTGAAACATCGCTGGCGCTTCTTCTCGGTGCTGTCCAGTTATGGGGCAGTGCTGGCACTTCCAATGCGGTCTTTGCTTGAGAAGACCGCATTAGAAGTAAGTAACCACCGGCCGCCAGAAATGACAATGCTCGCTCCAAACCGAGGCCTGGAGCCCCCAGTCAGCAACCAGCACTCCAAAGCCCACAAGAACCGGCCAGCACAGCAGCGCCACAACCCTCTCGTCTGCAGCAGGAAAAGGACAGGGCATCATCACCTAGGGCTTCAAGAGTCGTCCCCCTGAGAAAAAAGGGGGGACAAGAACCTGGAAGCGGGACCCTCCACATAACAGC